TTCAAAAAAAAAAAAAAAAAAAACGAATTAATCACATATTTTCCTGTCATTAATCATGATTAATCGTATATTAATATATTTATATTGTCATAATTTCACACTGAATCTCCAAATTATGGAGAAACAATATAAAGATGGTATATTTTAAATATGATTTAATAGCATCTTTTTACAAAGTAGTCTATTATTAATGAAGGCCAGTATCAATGATACCAATACTGCTGCTAATGTCTAAATGCATTTTTCTCTCAATTTCAGCCATTAATTATAGCCATTCAACATTGCATTATAATTTTAAGCCATTATTATTATTTTTTAAAAATGTAATAGGCTTTGAAAAATAATATTTTAAAATATTTTTAACGTGTTAAACTGAAAAAAAAAAAAAATCACACAATTAACATGTTAATTTTGACATGCCTAATTTAAATATTATAAAATTATATAATAAAATATTTTGAAATTGTATATTTAAATGGTATGTTTATAATATACTGTAAGTAAATATAAATTATACAATTCTATAATGTTATATATAATATAATAACTTTTTTTATTTTCAATTTCACTTTCAATAAAGTTTAATTCGTTTTGCTCTATGTGAGTCATGTCTTATTTTAATGAATTATAATATGCATAATACATAATATAATATAATACACATAATATACAATTCTAGTTAAAATAATACAATTATGCCTTATTTTAAATTACATTAATGTGTAATAAAGCATAATATTATTAAAAAAGTTTAAATGAATATTTTAATACAATTTTAATGACATAATATTGAATTATTATTTTAAGAATAATAGTTGATATATTTCTTAAATGTAGCAGAGTGACTTTATTGTAATACCTGCATAACATTTTAAATCTCCACTTTTTGACTATTCATGATGACCTTCCTGCTTCTTCTTCATGATCCATACAGCTCAGTATGGCAGCATTGAATTCATAAAATGTTCATTATTTGACCTTCTATGAAGGCTGGCTTGTTGCTAGGTGATGCTTGTTTCATTTGTTGCAGTGGATGGGGCCTTGTTCACATTTGGAGAAAAGGACAGTGGGAAGCTGGGCTTGTCCAAAGAGAAGCTGGCCAATCATAAAGTGCCTCAACAGGTGACAGGCATCTCTGATAAAGTGGTACAGGTATCCTGTGGAGGAGGGCACACAGTGGCACTTACGGGTAGGAGAACACATTTTGCTTTGTTGTCTTGTCTTTCTTCTTTGTGAAGACTGAATGGTATGCACGTGTGGTAATGCAGAGCACGAGGTGTATTCGTTCGGCCTGGGTCAGTTTGGACAGCTCGGTCACGGCACTTTCATATTTGAGTCACGTTTACCCAGAGTGGTTGAACATTTCAGAAGGGGCAGAGTTAAACGTGTGGAGTGTGGAGAGAACCATACAGCGCTGATTACTGGTAAAACATGCACAGAAAACCACCTGATGACATTCTTTATGTACTGTAATACATTTGATATGATATAATTTCCTCTAAAACATATGCCAGTTCTGTTTGTTTATAAAGAATCTGACATGCTGGTTGCAGACAGCAGACTTTTGTACACCTTTGGTGATGGTCGACATGGAAAGCTGGGGCTTGGAGAAGAGAACTTCACCAACCAGTTCAAACCAACCCTATGTCCAAGATTCCTAGACTATCATGTACATTCTGTATGTATCATCACTGCCTATCAACCTTTTATAACACAATATACATATGTGTATACATATCAGATATATACATTTTCTGCTTTAAAACCTCATGAAATGGTTTGACAAATGCCATTTTCATAACCCTGTTGACTTAATTACATTTGTATGAGAAAAAGTGTGGTCAGAAAATATCAAAGGGCCTTTTGCTTTAATTCTTTTATTGAATTTAGCATTCATTTCTCAAAAAGATGATTTTAATTTACTGTGCCAAACTTGCATAAATATTTTGGTCCATTTTTCACATCCAGCTGAGAAAGTTTTTTTTTTTATTATTATTTTTCAATAAATTAATACTTTTATACAGCAAGGACACATTAATTTAATCCAAAATGTTACAAAGTAATGATTTATGTTTTTAAATGAATGCTGTTCTTTTGAACTTTCTGATCTTCAAAAAAATACTGTAAATGTAAAACCATTTCCAGTACAACTATTTTTAACGCTGATAATAATAAGAAATGTTACGTGAGCATCAAATCAGCATATTTGAATGATTTTTGAAGGATCATGTGACACTGAAGACTGGAGTAATAATGCTGAAAATTCAGCTTTACATCACAGGAATAAATGACATTTTAATATATTTTAAAATAGAAAATTATTTTGATTTGTAATAATATTTCACAATATTACAGTTTGTACTGTATTTTTGATCAAATAAATGCAGCCTTGGTGAGCACAAGAGATCACTTTCAAAAATCTTACTGTCCCCTTTTTCTTTTAAACGGTAATGTAAATGTGTTTTGTCGTGACATATAGATCAATATAAGCCACAAAACTCCTATTTTGATTTCATGGCATTTGTAAACTGTGTGTGTGTTTTTCAGGTTACTTGTGGTGGGTGTCACATGCTTGTGTTGGCAAAGCCCAGGCCCGAAGGGTCGGAGGAATTGATCCTGGAGGAGGAGGATGTCACAGAAGACTACTTTGAGAAATCCTATACTGAATTACTGGGGGACACGCAAAGTCAGACCACCCTACACAGGAGTCTCTCGGCTCGGGTCAGACGCAGAGAACGGGTGGGTAGATCCCGATGGATCAAAATGAGTGCAACTGATTATAAATTGGACTAGTGGTGGTGTATTTTAAGATGAATAATAAACTTAATGATAATGTTTAATATAGTATATTACCTAAACAATCACATATATGAGATAAATATGGAATCAAAAGTGAGTTGCTTTTCTTCTGCAGGAGCGTTCACCGGATCAGTTTGGACAGATGTTTCGAACACTTCCAGCCCTGGGTGGAAATCAGCTGAGTGCATCTTTATCTGTTCCCAGCCAGATCCATCAATCTCATAGTAAACAACCGGGAAAGATCCCTCACAACAGTCTCAAAAGTAACTGCATCTTTAAAAAAAAAACTGTATTAAAAAGGCATATCTGTGGTTTCATTTATTAAAAATGTGCAAATTTATGTTCATTTACACTACTGTTAAAAGTTTGGGGTTGGTATGATTTCTTTTGTTTATTTAGCACACATTCAGCACACATCTGGACACATTAAATTTCTAAAGTCACATTAAAAACTATTATTCTGTTACAAAATATTTGTATTTCAAATAAATGCTGTTCTTTTGAACTTTCTATTTAAAGAATCCAAAAAATGTATCACAGTTTTCACAAAAAAAACATTAAAGCTGCAGTCCGTAACTTTTTTGGTTAAAAATGATCTGAAATCAAATTTGAGCAAGTGCATAACCAGCCAGTGTTCAAAACTATCGCCTTACTTTAGCCCGATTCACAACGGTTAGCTTATAATAATGTTTCCTAATTTGAGTGGTACGGGTAGGTTTTCGCGGGAAATTCGAGCATGCCGCTGCGTCATTACGTCACGTCTGTAAATATAAAGAAGTTGTCCCGGGAATGTACAGAAATTGAAATCTACTCGCTTATACACACTATACTCATAGTCACGCAATACTGATGTTGTTAACATTAATCATTTGAGAATAAAGTATAACAATAATAATCATTTGAATGGTTTGATGTGATATGAGCTAACCGATCGTTACACTTAATCACCATTAGTAGCGCGATTTATTGTAATGCTTTTTTCCTCAGTTGGTCAGAAAAAACATGGCAGACTTGTTACTTACTTGTTCAGATGGCAATATATGGTGAAAATTCTTATTTGGGTCATATTCCAAGACGTAGGCTAGAATCTGTGATTGCAAAGTACAGTGAATATCCACACCGGTGTAGTGACTGACTGCCACACACACACACATACTCCTCAAATCAATAGATTCATCCACACTGGAGCCGTGCCGGAGCACAACCCACGCAAGGAAGATAATTCCACACACAGCTGCATTTCCAGGTTTTCAAACAGAGATGGCGACAAAGAGGCAAAACTTACGGACTGCAACTTTAAGGTGTCCAACTATGTCCTCCAGATAGCCAGAATAATTAAATTTATCATTTTGATGGCGGATTGTAATCCAGAAAGGATTATGTGTTTATGAAACACATGTTAATGAAATTAAATTATATTCCAGTTATGACGGACTGCAGCTTTAAGCAGCACAACTGTTTTTAACATTGATAATAATAAGAAATGTTTCTTGTGCACCAAAGCAGCCTATTAAAATGGGTAAGCCTGGAGTAATGGCTTCTGAAAATATAAGGAATATATTACATTTTAAAAACGCTATTCAAAATTGTAATAATGTTTCTTAATGTTAGTGTTTTTACTGTAATTTTAATCAAAGAAATGCAACCTTTGTGAGTATTAGAGACTACTTACAAAAACATGTAAAAAAAAAAAAAAAATCCGACTGACCCTAAATTTTTGAATGGTAATGTACATTATTGGGTCTTGCTCAGGTTTTATGTCTTCTCTCTCAACAAGTTCCCGGAAAGAGAGAAAAGTCTCTCGATGACAGAAGCAGTGTGGAGGATAGTGAGAGTGTAAAAGACCTTGGAGAAACCACTGACTTATTAAACCTGGTAGGAGAAGCATATTATCACTTATTAAAGAAGCATGCATGCTTATAGAATATATACAGAAAAATAAGTACAATTAGACCTTTAATGATTTGGTTTATTGTCATTTTTAATGAGAAATTGCTGCCAGTTTTAAACATTAGGTAAAAAAGTGTGGCACAGTAACACAGTGTTTACAACCGTTCTGACAGGGTCACGGGAAAACACAATACTAAATGCAAATAGAACTAACTGTATAATCATGAATAATTAGGAGAGAAAAATGAATAGACTTTCAAAAGGAAAAAGTAAATGACAAACTACATTAAATACAGGCTTCATTTAATAGTTTGGGGTTGCCATTTTATGTAAAATCTGAGTTGTGTAGAAAAACCTGTTGAAAACCATTGATATAAAAGACATAAAGCTTCCAAGTCTAATGTGAAAGTTTCTTTGATTTCAGACTCATGTAATGAAGATGGACCCTAGCGATAAGACTCTAACATTGTCTCCTATGGAGAAGGTAAGAGCTCACCTGGGTTGCTGTTCAAGAAATTCAAAATTTGCCATTTAGATGGTCAAACAGAGGTTGAGGAGCAAAAAAATAAATGTTTATTCTTCAAAGGGCGGCACTCTTTTAGACCTCTGCTTACGTTTTCTCTCTTTTCGCTTCATTGACTTATTCTTCTCATTTGCTTTGCAGCTTTAAAGCTCATTCTGCTCTCGTTCAGCCTGCTCTGCCTGTTCATTCGTTTCTCTAACACTTTCCCTCTTTTTATCCTCTGCTTCCTGGGATAGAAGAATGTTAAGCTTGTGAAAGAGCACGGTAAGGAGAAGGGGAAGCCAAGAGATGACCCCGCCCTTTATAGAAAGAGGGCAGAGCTTTTAGCTCGCAAAGCTCTTCCGACTGAGTTACTTAAAAGTTCAAGTGGTAGCTCAGTAGTCGGAGACAGTCTTGGGTCAGGGACCCCCCACAAGAGCCCTACGAGACCTGGTCAGGATAAGGAAAATGTACTTATAGCTTTGGAGGACAGAAGGCCTTCACATCACCAGGTTGCAGGAAGTAACACAAGAATGGGGACGGACATAAGCAGAGCTGGATCCAAATCTTTCCAGCCCAAACACAAACAGCTGATGAAGTCAAGGGATAGAGTTACAGGAAAAGACGCTGGGAATAAAGTACAGATACTTGAGGAACATTCAAAGGTAGAGGCTGAAAGTGAGAAGATTGCTCACAAGTCAAAAGAAAGTACAAAAACAAACCAAGAAGGTAAAACAAAACCCAAAGGTCATCCATTGGAAGTCAGTAGTCGGTCTCAAAAGGTTATGGGGGAAGAAAAAGAAGTAAAAACGAAACCCATAATAGTTGCTGAACAATATCTTGAACAGACCACGCATAAAGACCAAGACCCAACAGGTAAGAAGATCTCAAAAGAGATTTTACCAAAAGCTCAGAAGATGAAAGGTGAAATGAATACTGCTAAGACAGAAACCAAAGGTTTTGTCCCACAGAGCAAAAAGTTAGATTCAAAAAAAGACTCCAAAAGTAAAAAGACAGTGCAAGAGCTCTCCACTACTTCACAACAGTCCTCTTGCCAAGAAGAAATTTATACAAAGAAGACTAAAAAATCAAAAGCGGAACAAAGCCAATTGCTAGTAAAGGACCAAATAAAGGGGTCTACCATTATCTCAGAAGCTGCCTTCAAATCTGAATCAGAGTCAGAGCAAATGAAGGAAAATCCTATCACCAAGGTGACATCTTTTCTCCACAATGTGGGAATGGGAAGTCCCGCTCGTTTACTTGGAGATACAGCAGTCAGTCAGTTCCTTTCCCAGTCTACACCCCAAAAAATGCCAAAACCTCTTTCAAAACAGAGAACTCTGTCTGACGTTTCGTCCCTGAGTGAGTCTTTTGAGGTTTCAGGACAAGAGGAGACAAGAGAGGCCAAGAAGACGGCCGTCACCATCAATGTTAAGGCAGAACCAGAAACTTCAGATGGGGACTTGGAAAGAACCAGCACTGAGTCCAAAACCGAGGCTCATTCTGAGGTGGGAACATATAGAAGAAGTGAGGAGGAAGGAGGAGAGGAATCAGAAGAGGAGGAAAGCGAGGGATCGGTGGACAGAAGGGAAAAGAGTGAGGAAGTGGATGACAGAGAAGAAGAAAGCGAGGGAAAAAAGACAGTGCAAGAGCTCTCCACTACTTCACAACAGTCCTCTTGCCAAGAAGAAATTTATACAAAGAAGACTAAAAAATCAAAAGCGGAACAAAGCCAATTGCTAGTAAAGGACCAAATAAAGGGGTCTACCATTATCTCAGAAGCTGCCTTCAAATCTGAATCAGAGTCAGAGCAAATGAAGGAAAATCCTATCACCAAGGTGACATCTTTTCTCCACAATGTGGGAATGGGAAGTCCCGCTCGTTTACTTGGAGATACAGCAGTCAGTCAGTTCCTTTCCCAGTCTACACCCCAAAAAATGCCAAAACCTCTTTCAAAACAGAGAACTCTGTCTGACGTTTCGTCCCTGAGTGAGTCTTTTGAGGTTTCAGGACAAGAGGAGACAAGAGAGGCCAAGAAGACGGCCGTCACCATCAATGTTAAGGCAGAACCAGAAACTTCAGATGGGGACTTGGAAAGAACCAGCACTGAGTCCAAAACCGAGGCTCATTCTGAGGTGGGAACATATAGAAGAAGTGAGGAGGAAGGAGGAGAGGAATCAGAAGAGGAGGAAAGCGAGGGATCGGTGGACAGAAGGGAAAAGAGTGAGGAAGTGGATGACAGAGAAGAAGAAAGCGAGGGATTGGTGAACAGAAAGGAAGAGAGTGAGGAAGTGGATGACAGAGAAGAAGAAAGCGAGGGATTGGTGAACAGAAAGGAAGAGAGTGAGGAAGTGGATGACAGAGAAGAAGAAAGCGAGGGATTGGTGAACAGAAAGGAAGAGAGTGAGGAAGTGGATGACAGAGAAGAAGAAAGCGAGGGATTGGTGAACAGAAAGGAAGAGAGTGAGGAAGTGGATGACAGAGAAGAAGAAAGCGAGGGATTGGTGAACAGAAAGGAAGAGAGTGAGGAAGTGGATGACAGAGAAGAAGAAAGCGAGGGATTGGTGAACAGAAAGGAAGAGAGTGAGGAAGTGGATGACAGAGAAGAAGAAAGCGAGGGATTGGTGAACAGAAAGGAGGAGAGTGAGGAAGTGGATGACCGAGAAGAAGAAAGCGAGGGATTGGTGGACAGAAAGGAGGAGAGTGAGGAAGTGGATGACCGAGAAGAAGAAAGCGAGGGATTGGTGGACAGAAAGGAGGAGAGTGAGGAAGTGGATGACCGAGAAGAAGAAAGCGAGGGATTGGTGGACAGAAAGGAGGAGAGTGAGGAAGTGGATGACCGAGAGGAGGAAAGTGAGAGTAAGACCCTAGCAAATGATGATGATTCTGAGGTTGATGATGATGATACCACAATCAAAGCTTCTAGTGAGGATGAGGAAAGTGAGGAAGAGGAGGAGAAAAGTAAAAGTGAGGCAACTGAGGATGTAGAGAGTGAAGCTGAGGAAGAGGAGAGTCGTGGAATAGAAGATGAGGAAGAGGAAACAAGTGAGATAAGTAGAAACAGCGAGGAAGAGAGTGGAGAAAATGAGGGTGAAAGCAAAACAAGTGAAGAGGAAGAAGAGGAGGAGAGTGGAGAAGAATCAGAGGGAAAGTCAGAGAGCAGAAGTGACAGATCAGAGGAAGAGTCAGATGAAGAAGACGAAGATGAGGAGTCAGAGGAGAAAGATAGTGAGAATGAGGAAGAAAGTGACGTGGAAGGTGACAGTGAGGCAGAGGAGGATGAAGACGGTGAAAAGACTAGCAAAGAAGAGGAGGAAGATTCAGAAAAGCAGGAGAGTGAGACTGAAGATGATGAAGATGAAGGGGAGAGTGAAAACGAAGCAGAGGAGGAGGAAAGTGAGGAAGATAAAGAGGAGAGCGAGGGAGGTCAAGAGGATGAGGAGGATGAAAGTGACAAAGATGAAGCAATGAGTGAGAATGACGAAGAAGAGGAAGAAGAAGAGGATGAAAATGAAGAGGTAGAAGAACAGGAGAGTAAAGAGGAAGAAGAAAGTAATGATGAGGAGGAAGAACATGAAGAAGAGGAAGCAGAGGAGGAAGAGTCTGAAGAAAGAGAGGAGACAGAAGAAGCAGAGGATGAGGAGGGAGAAGAGGAGAACAAACAAGAAGAAGAGCAAGAGAAAAGTGAGGAAGAGGAAGAGGAACAAGAAGAAGAGGAAAAGGAAAAGGCCAAAAGAAAACGCGGCAAAGCGGCTGAATCCACCAAACCAAAGTCAAGTGTGAAAACATCAAAACAGCAGTCAAAAGCCAAACGGGGCCGAGCGCAAAACGATCAATCAGAGTCTAAGCAGTTTTGGGATGATGTTGTACCTCAATACCTTAATCTAAAATAATTCAGCAACCTCAACCCCTATCTTTATTTAATTAATGAGTTAATGAGCTTGCTGTTTCATGTTTGCCTTTTGTGTTCTTTCTTGCTTTTTGCTTTTGTCATGTTTATTATTCTTGCAATTTCGCCAATGGTAATCTTACTAAATGTATTGCTTCACATTTTTTAAAATGTATTTTACAAACTGTTTTTATAAGTAATTATATGCCCAGGCAGTAGTGAAGACCTCATGATGTGCCTTAGGATTTATCTAATGGACAGCCATGTTCTTTTATTAACAAATGTGCTTGATTTGTCAGTAACCTTGAAACACCCCTATAAATGACTTTAAATTCTTAAAAATACAAAATTATGTACCAATCTTCTGCCTTTATGTCAAATGCCTAACCATATTAAAATGGCAGCTCGTAATCTTTATGACTGGAAGCAAATAATTGGAAAAATTGAGCCCAAAGATTAGTCATTAAGTATCATTTATTTAAAATGTTTCACTTGTGCTTATGTGAACTTTTTTTTGTTACATATAATAACCAATAAAACTTATCATTTACTTCAACTATTTGCATCCGTTTTTAAATTAATACAACTATTTGCATCCGTTTTAAATTAAAACCTATGTGTTATTTTATATTTATTTTTTTATTTTATTTTAACAAAAGCACAAAATTCTGTATGGATTAAATGAAGAAAAATACATACTACATGACTGTTTAGTGAAAGCTATAATGCAGTACCTGAGAATTTCAGAATATAACATTTACAAAGCAAATTTTCATTTGAATTGTAAATATGCAAATATAGAAAGCCATTTGAAATATCGCCAACTTGCAAAGCCGTTGCAATCAGGCAGAGTACTGAAAATCCTTCATCGGACAGGTGAGGCTGCCCTCTTTATATACTATCTCTGTAGAGGTGCTCCTCCTAAATAGATCCCTAGTTCATGTGCCTACTGTACTTACAGTGTGTGTGTGTTTATACATGTAGTTTGTTTGCTAGTTTTAATTTTACAAAGACCACTCAACTCACATGAACCCTCTCCTGCCATTCTAGTGTCTTTAACCCTCTTTTCGCATTTCACAGTCATCTGTTTAGTCACTGATTGTGTCATTTCTCATTTTTCGCACAGCTCCGGACAGATGAGATGAATGGAAAGGTAGACGGAGAAGATGAGGAGGAAGACTATTTAGATGAAGAAGAAGATGAGGATGAAGAAGAGGAGGAAGAACATCCAGAGGAAGAAGAAGAGGGGGAAAAGTGTGATGAGAAGGAAGATATTCTAGATGAGAAGAGAAAAGAGACAAAGGAACAGGAGCAAAGCATTACAGAGCCAGACATACAGGTGCCCTGAAACCCTTCATTCATGCCGTTTAGACTAATTTTGCATGAACATAATGATTTAGCGTCACATCAGTAAACAACTGCAGTATTGCTTTGATTTGTTTGTGTGATGTCATTTTCTTACCCCTACAGAAAAGGCAGATTATGAAAGACGCATCTGTCCCCGATGGACCAAAGAAAGGTTAGTGTTTTTTACTTTTCAGCATCCTTTTTTCATTTTGCACTATTCCTATACAGTCCCCAAGTTTTTAGTCTGTCAGTTTTGAGGTCATCTATAAAGGGAAGCTTATTTTCACCACAGAATAAAAATATAAAAAATGGTACCTGCAACTTTTTCCCCCCCACAATTCTGAGTTGACATCTCACGATTGTTTGTTTCTGCATTTTTAGACACCTTTCTGAGAAACTAGTCAAACTTGTTAGATGTAAACTCAGAAGACAAAAAGTGAGAATTGCTAGTTTGTAATTCACAGTTGCAAGAAAAAGTCAGAATTGTGAGATAAAAAGATGCAATAACCTTTTCATATCATATTCTATATATCTTCTAAGAGTATAATTGCAATGCAAATTGATTATATAAGCAGATTTTTCTATCTTTCTCTTTTTTTGTTGAAATTCTGAAGATTCTGATCCTGCTACTCTTATAAAAGAGGAAACACAGTCAGAGAGGAATGAAGTTACAGAAGACAAGCCAAAGACTCTTTTTGGCTCCAGGAACAGGGTATTTAACCACTCAAACCTTTTAATCTTTATAATAAACACCAGTAAGCACCCATGTTCATACGTAACACCCTAGCAACCAGCTAATATTAAAATGGTCCATTGTTTGACCTCTTTCCTACCTGGCTTTTTCAGCTTTCTCTTTTCAAGAGAGCTTCCACCAAAGGCAATAAGGCAGAGATCGTCACATCAGGCAAACCGGGAGCTGACGGTCCCCCTCAAATCCCAGAGACTCGAGAGCCAGAGAGTTCTAGCAGTGGAGCACAGACCACAGCATCCAGTCGATCACATTCAGCCACTTGCAATCTGCTTTGACACCTGGTTTGAAACCATCTTCTGACTTGAAAAAAGGGATCAGAATTAGTAGAATCAGCAGTTCAACAAAGCATCATCCTGTTGGTGTTGGTGGTGTTAATGGTACTGTGCCTTGTGCTGCAAAGCAGACATCACAAAATAACTAGCTTTAGCAGAAAACTGAGTTTGGGAGATGGATTTAAGCAGAGCTGTGTGAGCCATAATGGTTTTGCTTCGGTACTACATTGTATAATGTTTTTCCCTTTATATGTTTGCAGTGTCTGATTTGTATAACTTTTTAGCAAATACATTCTCAAAGTCATTTTGAGTAAATTTACCAATATGTGCAGTATATCTACAAATACAATTATGTATGTGTTTGTATGTTTTTATACCTATTTATTTACATTTGTTGAAAGAATCAAAGCACCTGTGCACTTTATATATTATAAAAATCTTGTATTCAGGGTAACGTGATACTTTTTTGTCAATGGACTTTTTGTAAGAATCATCTCACAACCTTTGTATTTGACTTGATACAAGTAAAGTCAACTCAAAATTGTCATTTTCTTTTTTATGATAGATAGATAGATAGATAGATAATGGTGAGTGGGAGGAGCGCCACTAGGTGGCAGCACTCAATCGTCATTGTGTTGCTAACATCAGCCTTTAGTTGTCAGTGAGAGAACAACTACGCTCATCTGAACTGTTTTGTCTAGATTTTTGGTTTTCAAGCTAAAAAAGATGGAGGAGTATCATTCTGGAGATGAAGTAGGTGTTATATAAGACTATAACTGGTTATTATCTGTCTAACTCTTCAAAACTGGTAAACCGTAGACAGCCATTTAATGCTAGCTTGCTAACCGCTTCGTCCGGACAGAAACATAATATTACTTCATCATCCACGAACGTACATATTTTCATGTGTTTACATCATTTACATATACATAGATGATTAAAAGTCATTTTGATTTATGTTTTACATTATTGTGTTGTACGTTTTCACGTAAAATGATTCAGGGTGTGGCCAAATCATAACGTTAAAGCAAATTATGAATTACATATCAACATTTTTATATTCATAAACCTTATTTTGAGTTTTTTTTTTCTTGCTGACTTACGTGTTTCGTGTATATTTTGATGTAATGGATGCGGGTGTTTATGCATTATTAAACCCATTTGACAGCTTGTGTTTATCTTTTAAAATCTTTAATTGCAGGTGTCTTTCAGTCCAGATGATGCAAGTAATGTTGTAAAGGAGGTAAATTCACTATAAAACCAAACACACACACACACGTATAACAACATTACAAACCCTATATGATATACTGTGTCTCACTGAATGAATTGATTTGCTGTTTAGTCTCATGTCTAACTCGTGCCTGCAAGTCTGCTCCATTAACTCTGTCTGTGTGTGTTTATCGGTCAGTGCATTGAGGGCATTATTGGAGGCGTGGACTACAGCCAGAACAAAGTCAATGGCCAGGACGTGTCCTGGGAAAATGGCACGTATGGTCACCCTATAATAGGTTATATATCTGATGAGATATTTATAAGGCTCCGTGTCGTTTTCACAAGGCCAAATGTGCTGTTGTTGATTGTATATATTATGTATGAATTTCAGTCAACTGTGCTGTGATGCAGAAAAGCGGCGCAGGTCTTCACACAGCCAACTCTTGTTACTGGGACACTACCACTGATGGTAAAGCTTTTAATTCTATATAACTGCTTTGTGCTTTCATAGTCACACTGACACATTGGTCTTCTAATTTAATTGATATTTTTCTGAATAAAGTTTAAATCGATGCATTGCATATTAGTTGTATGTACAGCCAGCATAGTCGAACACACTCTCACTCAGTTAGTCAAACAGGGGAAACCGTTCAAGTACATTGGTATGAGCTTTTCCATTTGAGTTCATCTTGTATGCAAATACCTAATAGGTAGGGTGACCATACGTGCCATTGTCCCAGGACACGTCCTGGCCAGGATTTCTATATTGCCTAAAATATCTAGGTTTTGGCTTTGTTTGCGTGTGCAGACGTTGAAATAACTATTCCATGTAGTCTCATAAAAAGATTATGGAAATTAAAATGGTAATGGTAATTGCGACAGTTACAAATCTCACAATTGAAAAAAATTTTCCCTGCAGTTCTGAGTTTATGTATCAGAATTTTGACTTTTTTTTTCTCAAAAATGTAAGGAATTGCAAGATATAAACTTAGAATTGCAAGATATAAATTTTTATCATAATTCTTCTGAGTTTATATCTCAGTTCTGTCTCTTTTTGTTTGTTTGTGTTTTCCTCCACAGAATAAAAAGTCAAAAAGATGTGTAAAAACTGACTTTTTATCTCACAATTCAGACATTTTCTTGCAATTTTTTTATCTTACAATTCAGAGAAAAAAAAGTTAGAATTGTGAGATATAAACACTGAATTGCAAGGGAAAACGTTAGTTAGTTAGCTTTGACTTTTTTTTTTAATCCCATGGCAGAATTAAGCTTTCTAAAAGATACCTGTAGAATATTTATAAAATAAAGGGGGAAAAAAAGTGTTCAAAAATGGTCAAATAATTAAAACAAAAGTATAGAATACCGCAGGACACCACTAAAACTGCTTAAAATTTCATGTCAGCGGTCCAAACGTGTTCTATTTTATTTATTGGACTTGTAATAAATAATAGATCTTTATAATAAACTATAGTTTTTTCTTTTAAAAAAATCTGTATTTTTAAGTATCACAGTTTTTCAAACTAAATGAGATGACGCACTGTGTGCATTTGATTTCATTGTAATATGTGTCTGTTTTTGCAGGAAGCTGCACAGTCAGGTGGGAGAACCGCACCATGTACTGCGTCGTCAGTGTGTTTGCAGTGGCTATTGCGCTATAAACAGGAATCAGGGCTGAGACATAAACAGAAACAAAAGGATAAAAACACCTTCACTCACATCCTCTGCTTCAACACTGGCTTAAAATCATGTTCAGCTTGTGTCATGTTTTGCCTAATCTATAAAGTTTAAACTGTATTGCAAATGCCTGTCTACCACATTGTGTTTATTTGCCTTTTTTTGGACTTGCAAAGGTAACGTGCACCTTTGTTCTGTACAGGATGAAATGCAAATATGTTGATGCTTAATTATTAAAGTTGTCTGATTTGGGTTTATCAATCCAAAAAATATATATGGATGTTTTTCTTTTTTAGTCTTCAGACTTTTGAGGCATTTTCCATATCTGAACATTTATTTAAATTCTGAACCAAATACAGACTATGAGGGGGAATTTACAAACAATGCAAGGATGTCACATTATGACATAATATATGTTAAACTTTATTTTTGGGAACTGAAAATAAATCTTTCTCCTTTAAAATTTAAAATAAATTGTAATGAGCCAGCACACAATAAATTTGCTAAGAAAAAATTATAAGCGAAACTGAAGTCCATCTATACAGCCCACATAGAATTACCCACTATAACACCATATTCAATTCAGTATCTGACTGTTTTATAGTGGCATGCCTTGTATTGTAACATTGTGATTTCATTAATCAGCCCACCATATTGCTAAACTTAAAAGATTTTGTAAGCTTTAACTTCCACTTAAGAGAGGAAGCAGGTTTGGAAAGCAGGATAGTTTCACAGTAAAATACAGCACAGTAAAATAAAACTTTGATCTTTAGTACATAAAAATCTATTATAGATCATGCACATAATACAACAACATAATAATGACATAAACGTGCACTGCAAAAAAAAAAAAAAAAAAAAAATATATATATATATATATATATATTCTTAACAAGAATTTCATTTGAAACTGTAAATAAAAACTTAATTTTTTGAACAAAATCTGCCAGTGCAGTGAGACAAAATCTACTTACAGTCAAGATATAATCTTTGAAAGCAAGTCTGAATGTCTTATGCTGTGGTTTAAGGATTTTTCAATATTTTTAATTAGAAAACAAGTCAAAAGACTCATTAATTAAGGGGGTCATATGATGTCATATGACGTCTACGTCACTGTGTGGGAAGATTTGCATAACACCACCCAAATGTATACGCTAAGAAAGAAGGCGTAACTTTACTGTTGCTGCTACCGCCATGTTGTGAAGACGCTGTGTTTCGTTGCGAAAGCGAAAATACTTTGTTTGGCCTTCCAAAAGAGGACACGACTAGAAATCAGTGGTTAAGTTGTATTTACAACACTGTTCCAGAACACTTCAACCCACATATTCAGATGTGTGCAGCACATTTTATGGAGGACTGTTTCCTGATCCTGGTAGAGTAGACTACAATGCCGGCTGTTCTGACTCACAGACTGTAAGTACGTTTTCATATTTAAAGGATTTGCCACTGACGATTCAAACGCGAGTTTTGGGCAGTGTAGAGTAGTACTTGTTGTTTGTCATTTCTCCGATCACAAATGCAGATATGGTTTTATGTTTACGCGGCACGATGCAACGCAACGCGTAAAAAGACAGTATAAAGTCATTATAACCCGTAATTATGTCCCCACTGGATGCTACAAATGCCTCGGTTATAATGTTTGTTTTTTTTTTTGTCTCGTCGCTCCGGCCGGGACACGGCATCACAATATGGTAAGGGGCGTAACATTTCCGTCACACGCTTGAGGTATTCGGCCAATCACAACGCACTGGATAGCTGGCCAATCAGAGCACACCTCGCTTTTCAGACCGATGAGCTTTGTAAAAATCGACACGTTTCAGAAAGGCGGGACATAGAGGAGAAACAATAATGTACAGTATGTGGAAAATAATGTGTTTTTTGAACCTTAAACCGCATAAACACATTTCATTACACCAAATACACAAAATAATGTTCTTTTTAGCAACATCATATGACCCCTTTAAGACGTCATTTTTGCAGCATTTACATTGATTTAAAATGTGTTAATCAGCATCCATGGGTTCTGATACATATGATTTGGCACACTTTGTGAAGCACATCAGAAGTTTTCCTTGTTGAATATAAACTCAGTTCCAGATTCAGTGTGTGAAATACACTGCTTCCCCAGAGCTGTGGCCAAAGCCGTAGGACCACATAGAAAAACGCCTACTTTTGAACTGAAAGAAGGAAGAGGAAAAAATACTAGTTATTAATGCACATTAAGTGTAGAAAGCCTTTAACGCTGCTGTTATTTACCACACTCTACATACCCTGGGTGTTGGGTAGCGATGCCACTGAACTCATTGTCCCAGTTGGGTTTACCATACCGAGTCTTCTGCTTAAGCCCGGTGATGGGATCGTCCTCTGCCTCATATTGAACTCTAAGATGGGCCGCCTTTAAACAGTAATCAAAATAATGAGTGTCAAAGTATTTTTGTATTTCAGGGCAGTTCAAAATAGTTCACAGTGTCTTGTCATTAAACAAGCAAGTCTTTTCGCCCACCTCAGCATCTTTCCAGCGCGTTAGATAGATGTTGTAACTGAGGAAATCCCTCATGTCTTTTTCATTCATCTGCCTTTCCAAACTCTGCAGCAGGTCTGCAAACCATTCGAAAGCCTGCGTCTCCGGGCAGAGCCAATAGAAATAGATCTGCAGAGGTCAATGGTCAGAACATTACATTAGTAACAGACAAAACCCTTGCTTTTTGGGACACTAGTCAATTTTGAGTTTCAAGGCTATTTTGCTATCATAACTTGACTTCTTTCAGATTAGCGAAAAGATAACATCCAAAATACACATTTAAGTGTTTATTTTATTACACTTTATCTACATGCATTTGTAGAGTTGAATTACAATACATATTTTTAATGGTTGTTTCCTTTAAATTAGTTTTTATTCATGCTCTGAGCTATAAATCTCCACTTCAACTTCAACTTATTCAGAGTAATGAAAAGGGATGTTCAAAATCCCCTGTGTAAAAACCTGTAACTCTAATGTCAACAAAATAAAACAAAAAAATTCCAGTGTTCACACTTCTGTTCTGGAAATGTAAGCAAATTAGTGCATATTTAATTAGATGATGCCTCAACTGCAAATCAATTCTGAAAACTTGTAATACATAACAACTGTATTAATGCACTGCAATTAATCAACTGTAGAAGTATGATGATATCTACTACTTAAATTTGTTCATATTCGCCTGTAGTGCTTTGCCTTAAAAAAACTGACATTTATGAGTTTTAATGAATAAGACTACAAAATAAACAAAGATTTTGTTCTGTCATTCAAAGCCTGAATCGCTAAACTTGGTGCTGTTTATCACCTTTTTGGTGAAGACGTTTTTGTTCTCCTGGACGTGTTTGTACCACACAGACTTTAGAACGGAAGCGAAAGGTGTCACACCAATACCGGCACCCACAAGCATCACAACTTCATAACGAAAGACATCCTCACTGGCCGTCCCAAACGGCCCATCCACAGCCACCCTACACAGACAAAAACAGACATTATGGACGGCAAACTATCAAATTGTGCTAATAACTGAGCATTGTGTTGTTAGTGTTTGTATTCTTTTAGTTCTCTACTGTAGGAGGAAGAAATTAGGAAACACATAAAGAGAAATAGCAAGAAAAATTCACTTATGTTGAAATCAACATTGCCTTCCATCTTCTCAAACAGAAACCTGCTCTCCCAACACTTCTCTTTTTTCTCAACTGTGATTGTGCCCACATCCTCTTTTTACACATGTATTTTCCCATTTTACAAGTGAGACTTGCTAGTTCTATTAAAGGGATCATATGATGCTGCTAAAAAGAACATTATTTTGTGTATTTGGTGTAATGAAATGTGTTTATGCGGTTTAAGGTTCAAAAAACATTATTTTCCACATACTGTACATTATTGTTTCTCCTCTATGCCCCGCCTTTCTGAAACGCGTCGATTTTTACAAAGCTCATCGGTCTGAAAAAGCGAGGTGTGCTCTGATTGGCCAGCTATCCAGTGCGTTGTGATTGGCCGAATTCCTCAAGCGTGTGACGGAAATGTTACGTCCCTTACCATATTGTGATGCCTGCGGAAACTACATGTGACGACCCCACTCCGCTTCGTCCACGGTGAAAGCCGATCCGGCGATCGACAGCGCGAAGTTGAAGTATTTCCTCAGTGACCAGCACGGATCAGCTTCAGGCATGACGAAGCGATATCGTCCTCTTTTGGAAGACCAAACAAAGTAGTTTCGCTTTCACAACGAAGCACACAGCGCCTTCACGAAATGGCGGCGGCGGCAACAATACAACAGCGAGAATAAAAGTTACCCCTTCTTTCTTTGCGTGAACATTTGGGCGGCGTTATGCAAATCTTCCCACATAGTGATGTAGATATGTGGGGGCGTGTTAGAACGAGCCGTTTTAGGTAGGCGTGGCTGACTCTTAACTTTTATAAAGAATATCTCTTTGGATTTGAGACTTTAGTCTTTGCAACTTTACAGATCTTCTTTATGCACCAAGAGCTTGTAACACTCCAAAGAGAAAGGACAAATTTAAATCGCATCATATGACCCCTTTAAAAGCACTACATCTGTGTTATTCAAGACATAAACCTGACATTAAAAGGACAAACATTTTTGTCATCATTTGTTTACCCTCATGTCATTCCAAACCTGTATGACTTTTTTTCTTCTGCAGAACAAGGTGTTTTAAAGGTGACATCTAAAAATCTGTGTTTAAGTGCTACGTATGAAAACGTGAAAAAGATTAACCCAGTAAATTTTTTTGGCAAAGTCTTTCTCAGCAAGCTTGTGAAAAAAGAGCGTGTCAGATTTCGCTCCCCCCGTGACGTAGAAAGGGGATCTTATTATAATATCACCGCCCCTAAAGGTCCTTGCACACTGAAGTCCAAAATTTTCATATGCGTTTTTTCAGTTTTTTTTTTTTCATATTCATCATCCTTTCCTATCAAAATGCTTGCTAAAAATGCGAAAATGCAGAAAATCGAACCTGGTCGGAATTTTTTTATGATGAAAGTTTCAGAGGCAGTGTGTAAACGTGATTGACACAACGTATTTATTTTTTAACGTGCGAAAATTTTGAACGAGAATTTCGGACTCAGTGTGCAAAGACCTTTAATCTGCAAGTTTCCACCCACGGCGCCAGTGTTGCCAAGTTTGGGCAAATTGGGCTTCTTTAACACTATTGCCATGGGTTGTTTTTCATGTCCGCGGGTTGATGCGACCCCAATAACGTGATTTTAGCCCCTAAAATGTGA